ATTCCCCTGGGTTCATTCCCTCATTCCCTACCTATCGCACCAGCAAGTTTTCGCAATTTCCCTGGATTCATTCCCTCATTCCCTACCTATCGCACCAGCAAGTTTTCGCAATTCCCCTCGGTTCATTCCCTCATTCCCTAGCCATCGCACCGGCAAGTTCTCGCAATTCTCCTGGGTTCCTTCCCTCATTCCCTACCCATCGCAGCATCAAGTTTTCGCAATTCCCCAAGGTTCATTCCCTAATTCCCTATCGCACCAGCAAGCTTTCGCAAATTCCATGCAAGTTTTCAAAATTCCCCTGGGTTCATTCTCTCATTCCCTACCTATCGCACCAGCAAGTTTTCGCAATTCCCCGGCCTGGATTCATTCCCTCATTCCCGATCGCACCAGCAAGTTTTCGCAATTCCCCTGGGTTCATTCCCTCATTCCCTACCTATCGCACCAGCAAGTTTTCGCAATTCCCCTCGGCTCATTCCCTCATTCCCTACCTATCGCACCAGCAAGTTTTCGCAATTCCCATGCAAGTTTTCGCAATTCCCCTGGGTTCATTCCCTCATTCCCTACCTATCGCACCAGCAAGCTTTCGCAAATCCCCTGGGCTCATTCCCTCATTCCCTATACCTATCGCACCAGCAATTTTTCGCAATTCCCCGGCCTGGATTCAATCCCTCATTCCCTACCTATCGCACCAGCAAGCTTTCGCAAATCCCCTGGGTTCATTCTCTCATTCCCTACCTATCGCAGCAAGTTTTCGTCCTTCCCCCTTGTAAACTCGCCCTTGTGGTGTGCTAGGGGACCCCTGCCTGGTGGCCTCCATCCGCCGCCGGGCGTGGGCGTCGGGGGCCAAGGAACACGCCAAGGAGTCCAAAAGGACATCGCCCACCGTCTCCTTGACCAAACCAGAGTATCTTCCCCAAAGGTGTCAGCGTGTTTGTGATGGCATGTTGCTGAGTTCTGTTGGCGTGCCCCAAGTCATCCACTTTGCTGATTACCCTAGGTTGCACCATACTGTGGATGGACGAAATCCTGCACCGGCTAAGAACCTCCATTTCGCACCAGCTAAGAAACCATGGTTGAAACCATTCTTTGCTGGTAGTTGCAGGGCAAACATCATTCCAAGGTTTCCTAGGTGATGCAGGATTTCGTCCATCCACAGTATCTTCCCCAAAGGGTAGCTTGGTGCTCGGGGGGGGTTGTCCCATTAATCCCTACAAAAGCCAGGGGTTCAAAAAAAGGACACAAAGCAAACATCAGGTTATCAAGTGATGTTGGAGGTTTCTCATAGAGACATTCAGCAAATGACTCCAACTGACATGATGAATTTTAGGTGAGGTGTCACCCCCGTGTTTGTGATGGCATGTTGGTGAGTAATATTGGCGAGTGTGCCCCAAGTCATCCACCATAGCAAGGGGAGGCTGTGCAGACTGATTGGCTTGAAGCTCTGAATCGAACTTGGGTCTTGTAACGGCTTGATGTTGTGAACACATATATGTGGTCACGGTCAAAACCGAGGCTGGCTGGGAAGTGGGAAGCCACCCAACCAAAACCGGGGGAAGCCATCCGTTTTGTCAGCAACTCAACCGAAGAATGACACCTATCTGCACCATTGACTCCAAGTCTGGAACCTGGACGTAAGGAACACGAATCCAAAAAGCAAAACTTGCCAAAAGAGTTGCCAGGGCTGACCAAACACGTCTCAACTTGATGGAGAAAACTCTGCCCACACAAAGTTTCTCAGTCTGCCAACTAACGCTGACCCTGGGATCATAAACCCCTAGTTGATGAACCGGATTAATAAACCCATCCTATAGGGGTGTTTCCCTCCAAAGTGAAGAATCCCCACTCAAGGGGGCACCCCCTAATCAACTCGGGGTACTTAGATCCGGGGTTCCCGCCTTCACTTTTGGGGAAAACAAATTGTCTAATGTGTAAGGGGTTTGATACATTCCGTCCACAAGCTCAGAACCCATTTCGGAGGCAAGGTTTCGCGCTTACGACACGTCTCTCTCCTGAAGCCCAGGGCAGGGGGGCTCCTTGAGGATGCCCAAGCAGACTAAGGCGGCCTCCACGCGTACCTTAGATATCCCTAAAAAAGCCCTTCAAGCCGCCCCGTTTGTTTGTGGGTTCTTCAATCTAGAGCTGCGCCTAAATTGGGTGGTTTTCCTTTTGGTTTCAACTTGAAACACGAACAGGAGGCACTCTGAAAACACAAGCCCAAATGGGTCTACACACATAATCCTTTGAAGCTAAGCGATCGGAACCCTTTTCTTACCCGTTGAACGGGTTTCTATCTCGGACGCTGACACGTCCGATTTCTCTGGCCTCGGAAATCGCCTCTGAAGCTGACCCAGCACTCGATGGTTGATGGGTTCATAGGGTGGTGGGTCAATGGCTGATATTGGTAGCCAGTGGACCCTTGAGCTATGAAGAACTATGGCCTAGCTGTCCAGAAGCTCTGGCAGAACAAAAACAGAGACCTGTTTTGAAGTCGATTTTCTTGCTGGTGGGTTCCGGATCCGCCAAACAGGCGGCCAAAATTCACACTGTGATCTGGGCCACACTGAGACCCATACCGCAAGTCTGCTTATTGCTCCCACAGGTAGCTTCTGTTTGTGGGAAGAAGGTAAGCTTTGGCCCAACTCGAGATCGCATGTGATGAGGTCCGGGGGGCTAGCGTACAAGGAGGCAGCCGCTTCTTATGTACAATTTTCGCGACCACCTGCTGGACTTTTTCCTTGAGCTTCTCCTGCAAGAGATGTTCGTCGCCGCACGAGCGAGTGTGAAGGAAATGTCATATTGCGGATGGACGCAATACTGCACCATTTGGTGGGCGGTTTGTTCCAGTGTTCATAGGGTTTCATCCATCTCAGCTGGTGCAGGATTTGGTCCATCCACAGGTCTTAAGGACTTGTAACGGTTAGGGAGTCGAGGGTGGATCCTATGAGTAAGCCGAGCGATTTGAGTCACCATAGCCACTCCTGTGGCAAAACATACAAATAAATTACATGTCTGGGGCAAGGGGAACACCCTCAGAAGTAACAGCAGCCTCTGATATAAGTGCAGCTGTTTATCCACACGTGGGCGAAAAAAGACATCTCCAAGATTGAAGATGCGCTCTTCCGCGCCAGGCAAATGTCTTCACAATCTATAAATCACACAATGTACATGTGGCTGTGGCTCAAAAAACCGGTACCAAAATGGAACCTTGGTAAGTGGAAACATGGACCAAAACCCGCGGTTTGCCCCTCCGGTTTAATTTTGAGCCACAGCCGTGTCACAACATGAGGAATCCCAACGTTGAGCAACATCGTGCATGAGCTTTTCAACCTCCAAGGCCGGGCGGGGTGAGTCACCAAAACACCTCGAGCTAGTAGCCGTGCCCTCCCCGTTCTGTGCCAACCGGGTTCATCTCTTCCGACAGTTGTGCGTAAACCCTCAGAAAATGAATTGGTGTCTGAACAAGACCAATGAATGCCCGGGGGACGTTGCCCTGGACACGCTCCCTGGCAACATGGCAGCCTCATATGAGGGTCCCTGACATTGGAAGTTGGTCTTCCAGGCACCCAGTGGGAGGAGGAAGGAGGGAGGGATGCCTGGAAGAGGAGGGAGGAGGGATAAGTATCAAAGACAGCAATTGCAACCCGAAACACCCCTGCAACTCAGGGGCCTCGAGACGAGGACCTGACAGGCCAGTCTGTTTTTTCCCCCTTGAGGCACTTTTTGCTGGTGTGCCGGGGCGGGGCCGCCAAAGAGATGTTCCATGAAATGATGGTTTCCACTAGTTACCTATAGTTGGATGGGCCGGGATAGACACATGTGCTACCCCAGCCCCCCTTTTCGGGGATGGAGAGTTGGATGAGACTTCTACAAGGTAACAGTTGGCTTGTATTCTTTTTGTAGATAAAAATACCACGAACGGTTTCCCTATAATATAGCTCCCGGGGTCAACCTTCAGCGGTGCGCAGCGACGTGCGGATTTTTGTTGGCGTTGGTGAAAACCAAGCTACTCCCAGGAACACTCCAAATGAAACTTCCTTCAAGGAAAGGCTTGGGGGTGCTTCCCTTACAAGCCTTACAAACCCATCTGAGGCCAAGGCCCTCCGTTGCGGCTACTCTGACTTTGTGGTGTTTGCTGGCTGTGCTGAGGGCACGCACATTTGATCACTGTCCAGACTGGACAACCGTGTGTTCTCCGGATCAGTGAACCTTACTCGCGGACGTGAACATGAAACAGCTCCGCGGGTTCTGAAAATGTGGGCCAGTTTTGAGATCCGGTTAGGGTCCTGAAGGAGAATCACACGCACCATGTCCCTTGAAGGTCGTGTGAGTGGGACTAGTAACAACGCCCGGTTGAAACCTGCACGCAGGCTAAAATATCCCCCCAACGGACACCCTCTATCGGTGTGTTCGCTCAAGGGGTCCAATTGTTTGTTTCAGTGGAAACGGGTCCAGGCGGGTCATCTCGCAATTGTTGCATGTTTCCCGTTCCCTCTGCCCGGCTCTCCAGCAATAAAAACACGGACTTGAAAAACAATTCATCGTTTTTGCGGGGAGACCCCTTTCTTGATGGGCCTTCGTGGTTTGGCTACCCCAACCAACCCCTCAAAAAACAACGCGGAACATAGTACCCAAAAGGAGTCCTCCAAACATGAATCGAGTAGTCTCAGGAACGCTTCCGTCTGTGCCTCAAAAAACAACCAGCCGAACCGAATCAATTTCCAAGCAGCTTTCTTCAAGCAGGTTTCTTCTTTCCTTTTTGAAGCTGCGTTCCTCTGAGGCCAATTCCAGAAAAATTGCGTTCTGACCGCCAAACAAGACCTACATTCGCCAGGAGAGAGGGATCTCGACCCTTTTGGCTTGACTATGAAGCTCTAAGCTCGGAATCCACAAGTCTGGGAGAGGCATGGGACAAGGTCTCCTTGACTCAGCAACCGTGTGAGATCCCTGTTCTGGTTGAGTTCGGTGGCCATGGGTAAAAGAGGGCACACTTTTTTTGGTAGCAAACCTAGGTCCTCCAGTAGAGAGGTTAGAATAAGGGTACCCTTTTTCCGCAGTCTATTTTAGTAGGGGAACCGAATCTCCCCCAAAAAAGAAACGGTCAAAGGGCACCTAGCAGGGGGACCTAGAAGCTCCGCTGGAGCTCTGAGTTCGGGAGGGCATCCGAAAGCCAAGCGGCGCGACCCGACCCGCTCGGTAGGCCTGGCGGGCGGCGTAGAAGAAGATATAGCCCTCCAGCAGCCGCAGAACCGCCAGGCCCGGGTCTCCCCCCGAGGTGGTCTCAGGTAGGCGCCCGGACATCTGGTGCACCTTCTTCAGGATCCTTAGGAACTGTAGACTCCAGAAAAGGATCGGTGTCCTTTTCATGGGGTTTACTCCTCCAAAAATTCAACTTGGAAGGAATTTTAGGGGACCCCAAAAAAGGATCGGTGTCCTTTTCATGGGGCTTACTCCTCCGAAAAATCAACTTGGAAGGAATGTTAGGGGACCCCAAAAAAGGATTGGTGTCCTTTTAATGGGGTTTACTCCTCCGAAAAATCAACTTGGAAGGAATGTTAGGGGACCCAAAAAACATATATCGGTGTCCTTTTAATGGGGTTTACTCCTCCAAAAAATCAACTTGGAAGGAATTTTAGGGGAGTTTACTCCTCCAAAGAATCAAGAAAGGGCTGTTTTTAGGGGTACCGTCCATTTCCATTCTTTCCAGGGATCCTTCTTCTAGAAAACCTCTGGAAACCCAGGGAAAACGGATCCGGTTTTTGGAAGAACGATGGTTGCAAAGAATGGGGAATCAACCCTTTTGATTAATGGGGTTTACTCCTCCGAAAAGTCAAGAAAGGGCACTGAGTGTCTGGGGATCCGGGTTTTCCAACCCCCACCCGGCTTTGCGCTTGCCATTTTACCAGTTGTTTGATGGCCAAAAAAAGCAAGTTGAGGGTCAAACACCGGATTCCCATGTGGGCGTCCCATTTTTGTGCCCAAGGGACCACTCAAATGGGTGGCTTCCTGGACAAAAGCACACTCCCACTTGGATGCCGTATGTTTGTGGAGGAATATTATTTGTCCGGTTTGGACACAACTATTTTGGGTGTCCTCAGATTTTTGAGACAAGCGCATTTTCCCTTTTTCCGTCACCAGGGAAAGAGCGTAAGCCTCAAAACGCATCTCCCACAGCTCATCTCCGACCGAGTCTACCCCGACTCGGATCCAGCCCGGAATCCTTGTTTGTGGACCTCACTTCCGATCGAGTGGATTCGTCAAAAAACAAACAAACTATCCAATGTTGTCACTTGTTGTCACTTGTTGCCACTTGTTTGGTTTTGTCACTTGTCCACGGAATCATTGTTGTCAACTGTCAACTAAACTGATCTGTCAAAGTTTCACGAAACTGGTCAAGGGAGACGCTTTTAGCCACAAACAAACATACACTTAGTCACTTGTCTTGACAACAACGAAGCCGGGTACCCGAATACAGCTTCTTAGGGCTCACGAAAAAGCCTACAGAACGCGTCCTTCGAAATGAGATCCAAATCCTTTCTCGCCACAGGTTTCCTCCATAGGTCACATGGCCTTCGGCTCGCACATCTCCGGAGCAGCTTCCAGGGGTCTCGAAGGGTGCTGGGGATACCACCGGGATGTTTCTTTTGTCCGGGAAACACGTTGCGTCGTATCAGGGCGCATACTGCTTTTGAGGCTACCCCTTTTTCGACGTTCTTTTTCTCCGAGAAACTCCAAAGGGAAAGCAACCCTTGTTGGGGGTATAGCAACATGCAGTCAGTCCTCGGCGCTGCCACCCAAGAATCGCCGAGGCGCTCCAGAACCAAGTCGGCTGAGCTGATGGTGAACCAGGCTCCTGGTGCTTCGATGCGGTCCCATCCATCGAATCATCTTCAGGCTTCGGATTCTCTCCGTCTCACACGAAAGACTTGTGCTTTCGCCCACTCAAAAAAAGGGAAGACACGTGAAAATACAACAACAATTTAAGTAGGACCCTGATTTTGACACACGTCTCTGACTGCTCCCCAAGCATCCCTATAGGGGAGCTCAATTAAATTTCATCCACTGCACATCGTGCCAAAAAACCAATGCCCTGGGCAGAGGGGTGTGTGTTCTGTTTGACCCTTGTTTGCGTTGGTTTGTAGGGAACCCCCCTAGCCCTAGTTTCACACATATTCATAGGGAAGGCGAAGCTTCAACTCATTCAAATGGCAGCAATTCGGGTTTCCCAGAAACGGGCAGGAGGTGAAATTTAAGGTGGAACCCACCAAAGTACGCAAAGACACAAACAAAAATACGCCGACATGCAGAAACGCTTTCAAATAGGCAAGCAGGGATAGAACCCACGTGCATGCGGGCTTTCCATCCACGAGTCGTGGCAACCCCCCCCTTCGTGGGAACATAACGGCTACAGAATTCTGAGCATCTCTTGCTGCCTCCATTCGCTTAAGCCCCTGGAAACAGATGTATATAAAGAAACATATATATATATATATAAACATATTTGGGTAGGGTCCCTATGAAAACAAACAGAACACACTTCATAAAATGTAGTTCAGCAACTGGAGTCGTCAAAAGAAAATGTCAGGCCAAGGATCTGAGCTGCCAGATCACCAAGCTCAGCTCACACAGCAGCTCCGACAGATCGTAGGGACGGATCTCACCCAACTCGGGGCAAAAAACATGCGTTGGCTTTGGCGTGTCTGGCGGGGAAGTAAGAAACCAATGGCCTTAGGGAATAAAGGGAAGCTTCCAGTGGGGGTTCTGAACCTTGCTTGGTAAGTCCTACTAAAGGGGGGCCAATAAGGCTTTCCTAAGCGGCTGCCACTTGAAATTCTCGACCTCTTCTTAGTAGTAACGTGTGCTTTTTTTGAGGAACCTCTCACAAACCACAGGAAACTTACTACTTCGCCTTTTTGAAAAGCACATCCAACTTGCATGCATCACACCACCCCCACCCCCCACACACCCACCCCACACACACCCCAACCCCCCAACCCCGACACCCCCCACACCCCCCACACCCCAGCACCCCCACACAGCCGCACCCGACACCCACACACACCCCACGCTCCCCACACACCCCACAACCCCCACATGCAAGAATTAAAAGCTTCACAAGGTTCAAGAGTGGCCCAAGCGTGCTTCGCTTATCAGCCCTTGGAAACGACCCCTTGGACCAGGCGCATGGCCCCTGCCTGATGCTTGAGATTCGACAGCTTCTCCTTCAAGGATGGCGTATCCTCCCAGGGGTCCTGCCAAATGCCCAGACCGTTGGGCCCCAGCAGATGGCTGCCCTCACGCTGCTGCTGTCGGTTCTCCTCCAAAAAAAGCGGGAGAGGGGGTCGTCAAGAACCCCTCCCAGTCCCGATAGGGGCGACTTTTGCGCAACTGGCAAGGCCTATTGAGTTCCTTTACCAATTTGTTTTTGTTTGGGGGGGCCTCGGAGGGGGGGGGGGCATCCTTGACAACCATGGGAACTCAGCCCGCACGATTTGTAGAAAGGGAAGGCAAAGGTGTCAGCTGACACAGCTGTGGTCTAAACCATGCCTCTGCTGAAATAACTATCTTTCACCGACCTAGTTGACTTTCATGCTGCGCAATGCTTTCAAATGAAACACCGTTCCAAAGGAGTTTGTTGAAATTGTTGTCACGAACCTGAATTACGGAATCCGGAAGCAAACGCACACACGCACACATTCATAATGGGGGAGCTCGTGCTACCCCCCAAATTGTGTGCTCGATATGATCAAATATAATATCAAAGCATTGGAGGCAAATGGTTTCCCACCAACACCACGCGTCCCAACAAGGGAAAACAAAACGATGGCCACCATCTTTTTGGTCCGACTGTTTTGGCACATATACCTATGGGTGTGAACTCTATACCCTTTCGTGGATATGATTTAAGTCGGGATTTCTGTCCACGGAACCATTTGACGGGAATCCGGATGAAATTGATAGCCATAGCGTGGCCATCTGGGGTACACGCACACACAAATGCTATGTTCTACTTATGTTTCATACTTGGTCTACCCTAAGAAACATAGTTTTGCAGGGGAACCCCCCCAAAAAAAAACGACAGAAAGAAAACAACAACCATGCATCCCTGTCCTGCAGAGATGCCAAGAAGGCATCCACAAACAGCGCCGCCTTGCCAGCCTCACCACATCAAACCGTGTATCTATTTTTTTCCCCACAGAAGCAGCGGGGGAATGGCTATTCCAGGCTTGTGGTATAGCGTTTTGGAGGATGCTTATTTTTCACCAATACAAGTTGTAAGTCAGTATACATGGCTTATGACGTCCATACCCCCAAAACCCAAACCTCTGAAGTGGTACCCTCAAAACAACCACCGCTGGTGCCAAGGCCCACATCTGGAGAGCATGGAACATAAGACTATCTGATAGTGTTTGATATTTTGTCTACCCTAAAATAAATCAAGATGTTGATATTGGAGAAATAAATGCCATTGATAACTAAGGCGCGTTTTTGGCATCAAATACTTTAAAACAATTCTAAACTCTGACGCAGGCACCCCAATTAGTACGGTGCGTTCGGTGGAACCACTTTCCCCTTAGACTTTATCTAGATTCTAGATGCATCTTCCATCCCACAGAGCGGCCACCTACAACTGCCTTCTCGCGCAGACCACCTTCCCCCCCCGGAGCCTTCAAAAATGATGCTTGACCTTCTGGAGGGGGGGAGGGTTTAATCCGAAGTCAACAATTCGTTTCGGAGACCTCCAAGGAGAAGGCTACCCTCAAAACAACCACAAAGCTCTTGGCTTCTTGGTTGCTGTTGACCCCCCTTCAAAAATAGTGGAAAACCCAACTTGATTTCCCAAAAAATTAAAGTCTACAGATCCAACCCAATAGCAGTCAAGGCTTCAGTCCTGCCTTGCTGGTGGCAATGCCTCGCCGGCCAGGCCACATGGCATCAGCGTCGCTGGAACTCGCGCGCCACGCGCGACTTTCGGGTCGTGCAGCCGGATTGAGCTCAAGCTATCGGCCAGATGTTCCTGGAAAACTTGTCTAGGTCCTCCAGTAGAGAGGTTAGAATAAGGGCGCCCTTTTTTCTGTAGTCTATTTTAGTAGGGGAACCCTGCCCCGAAAAAAGGTAAAAGGGCACTGCTGGGAGACCTAGTCGTCCTCCATGAGGCCGCCCCCGGGGTTTTCAATATTCTCCATCCCATGGATGTAGACCCCCTCCCTATACCACATCTTCGTGGCAACCCACCCAATTCTCCGCTACCGTTCCGTTCCCTCTACGATTGCCGCTCCTCTGACCTTCCACTCTGCCCAGTGGCTTCTCAAGGTAGAAAGAGGTCGCCCAGTGGCTAGGCGCAAGGAAATAGTGACGAACAAATGTTGCCTGGAGTTTATCCGGGATGTTCTCCGTATTGTTTTGGTGCGTCCCATGTCACGTGGGATGTATGTATTTCTGCATGCATGCATGGGCGCGTGTTAAAACAGGACTTTTGGCTTTCATGGTGCCCCCCACACGGGCAACGGAATCAGGCTCAAGAAGCCAAGTCAAGCATCCGAACTGCCCTCCTGCATCCTCCCAGAGTCGCTGGAAGAAGGCCATATCCACCTATGCTGGCAAGCACGGCATAGCCCCGGTACGGTGGATGGACATCTACTTCGCACCAGTTGAGATAGATTAAGCCTAGTACCGGGATAAACCACTTTCCAACTCTTACAGGATTTTGTCCGTCCAAAGGATCCACAACAGATACCGGGTTCCAGAACCCCCGCTCTGGAGCCAGCTTGGGCAAAACCAAACAGCCGTCAGCTTTTACGGAAGAACAATGGACCGCGTGATTCCCTTGTTCGTTACCATCACAATGACACAAAATGGCAGGTTCAAGGGAAATGACCAGCCAGGTTCTGATGTTATCCCCAGCGGTCAAAATGAACCTCGCTCTGGAGTTGTCAGGTATAAGCCCTGAGACGAATCGCTAAGTGCCTATCCATGGTTACCCACTTGCCATGGTTGTAAGTTCCTGTTCACTGAGTAACCACCTGGTTTTGCTCTCCAGCCATTTCTGCGTAGCAAACTGCCTACCTGCCAAACCATGTCAGGCTCCCAGGACCAACAAGCCATCGGCCATGCCGTTTGGCGAAGGTCACTCACCCTGGACCAAACGTGGCACCAAACGGCCTAAGCGACTTAACTTCCAGTTCCCACTTACGAGCAGGTAACCAAATACTGTCCCTTTTTGACATTGTCCCAGCACGGCCAAAACGCGTGGAAGGTTGGCTTCGGGTAGTAGCCTGTCTTCCTGGTAGCTGGAATTCTTGGGATTGCGCTGCTGCCTCTGACACGATGCTCGCGCAACCTCGTTTCTGGTCGTGGTCGGGTTTCTCATCGCGGGATGCTCGCCAGTTGCCCAGTGGCCCTAGCTAAAGGGAACGGGGCTGCCCATTATATGGCCATGGGTCAAGATCCCGTACCTTCAGTGAACTTGAGAAGCAGGGAACGAGAGCTAGCGTGCGGCAAGGTATCGGCGTGTCCGTGGTCAGTTCTGGCCTCCACTCATGCCATTTCATCGTGTGTTGTTTCGCTTGTGCCCCTTGCAGGGCAATCTGGTCCTACAACATAGGACTTACCCCATTAAAACTCTAAGCCCTGGGGAAGTTAAGCTTTTACAGCCAGATAGCCCAAGTTAGCTTCTAGAAAGGCTTTTGACATAATCTGAGTCGGTCGTTTCCGAAGCGTGCCATACTTGCGCCAAGCGTTATTCCAAACTTGATCCAATACCCGCAACCCATAATCTGCAGTCCGCAGGCCGCATGAGCTAATCCGTAAACCGCGCAATCCGAAACCCGCTAATCAATGCTGCTTCCAATCAAAAATGGCCTGGGGTTAAGAATGAACAAAGCGGATTGTTCATCTTTCATCTTTTGGGAAGCGCATAATGGGTAACAGCTTCAGTGTTTGAACAGGTGTGTGGGGTCTCTTGAATCAACGATGGTCACGGGATTAAGAATGAACAGAGCGCATTGTTCATCTTTAACCTTCGGGGAAGCGCGTAGTGAGCAAAAGCTTCAGTGGTTGAACAAGTGCGTGGGGTCTCTCGAATCAAAGATGGCCCTGGGATTAAGAATGAACAAAGCGCATTGTTCACTTTGAAGCTTTTGGGAAGCGCGTAGTGGGTAAAAGCCGGTGGATGGCGTTTGATTAATTGGTCTGCGAGTCCAAGTTCGAACATCTTTTGACACCGAGCGAGCCAATGGAAATAGAACATTCGACTATCCCCAGCGGAGGTGGTCCAGGGTGGATTCGGTCTCGCCTGATATACATGTATCAGCCCTTTTGGGGGGGGGGGCCTACCCCAAAATGGGATCCCATTGGTTTTGACCCACAGCCATATCGGATTGATCCGAAGGACCGTACTCAGGGTTCTCGTGGCAAATGATCTATTTTCGAGAATCCCTCCGACAGTAGGCTCCGGATTAATCCGACGTTAAGACTAAATTAGTGGGCACAATTGTGCACCCCACCAAACAAAAAAGGAACTTGGATCGAGGAACTGGTCCAATTGCTCGGCCATCAAAAACCTCACCTAAGCGGAATCAAGCAGAGCCCCAGTTTCTGACTTTCACCCCCAGAAATACTGCTCCCGCGTGTCACGCAACAAATGGATGTGTCAAAATTGGGAACCCACATGAACCCACCAACATGGTGGCTTTCTTTCTCATTTCCCAAGCCAACCTGAAAAGGGTACCCGCAGCCAAGCTCCGGTTCTCGGGCGCCGCGCTGTCTTGGATTTCGGCACCATGTCCAAGGATCAGAGGATCAAAAAGCAGCGTGCAGCGAACGGGGCAAGCGAGGGCGCCCGGTAAGTTTTGCACCACCAAACAAAACACCGAGGCAAAGCTGTTCTTTCCATGGCAACAGGTGTTGCTTTCGTCTGTAAACAAAGGCAAGGTCGCAGACAGGGAGTTTTCCGAAGTTGGTGATGAACAATTTTGAAGTGGCGGGCAGCGATGTAACTGGGCAAAGGATGGCGATAGTGTGTCATCCGAAAACAACGCAAGCATGAGTCACCTTGCAAGGCGGTGTTGGTATCCACTAGCTTTTGTCCAATCATGGAAGTGGACAACCATGACGGTTGGATAAAGGCTAGAAGTTCTAAAAATCACTTGGTAAGTCATATCCATCCTGCAGATTGTGGATAACATAGGTAGCACCGATCTGGGCGGCAATCCATCTGCTTTGATGTGTGGTCAGCGGCGTGGCAAGGTCTCATGCAAGTGAGAGGCAGTTCATCTGCAGCACATGGTGTAAGCCTCAAGCCGAACACAAGCAACATCAGTGCACCGATTCAAACAAACAGACTTGAACGGATACAGTAGTCGTTTGTTCCGCACTCGAAGGACCTGACAATGAAAGCCCCCCTTTTGAAGGCGCCAAACAAAGCAAGCAAAAAACTCAAAGGGTTGACTTCGGACAAGCAAGAAATAATTTCCTGCACAGTTCAGGAGATTGATTCGGGTCAACCGGTCGACCCAGGTATGTCAGAACCGCATGATCACTGGGCAAATCCACGTTGTGCTTTGCCCAAATGCTGTTGTGCGCCTGGGCAACTCACATTATCATGGGCTGGTGTGGATTGACAAGGTAACATTTTACCGTAGAGTTGTTGCATCTCTAACGAGTTTCACCAATTCTTGCGATGCCCTATTCTGCAAGAAACAACAAAAACAACATATATATGAGTCACCATCAAAACCTGGTATTGAAATGGTCGACCCAGAACCATGTAAAGAGTTAAGAAGGCGGCCGCAGCTATTTGTGGTTGGGATTGTCCCTTACTAACCTTGATCCAGCCGGGTTTTGATTGTGGCTCATATACCTTTACCATCCTCTGTACCCATCATGCGCTTCACGCAGGCCTTTCCCCTCGGAGTGGGTGAAATCTTTCTCGCACCATTTTTTGAACGTGTGCATACCTCGAACAGGACACCAGCACTTGAGAACCCTCGACTTGTTCAAGAGCCTTAGTAGGAAACCCCAGGAGTCCTGGGACGCTGGCAAAGGGAAACCGAAGCGGACGCTTTGTTCTTTCGCCTTGGGGGCTCGTTTCAAACATCTGGCACGTCAGGGGTCAGCAGTGAAACCCATGCCACCTTCAAGGGACTGCTAAGGGATCCGACTTTCGGCAACTTAACATTATCTCAGAGAGGATTCTTCTTCCCTGGACTCTCCGTGACCCTTCGTTTTTCAACTTTTTTCCGTGACCCCTTTTTGTCTTGGGGTCACGAGTGCAAAAAAAACCTCTTCGGCGCAAAAAGGGGTCACGTGCGCGATTCTTTTCTGCTTGACATTGTGGCTGCCGCATTGATGTGCACGGGGTGTGGGCTAGGGCGAAAAACAGCGCCGTCAGTAGCTGCAATCATTAGTGTGTCAGGGTCTGGCTTTGAACAAGGAACTTATGAATGTTTTCTCTTGCTGTGACATGTAGTCTGCTTACTTTCGTACCTGCAAAAGTCGGACTTACACCAAAGCATGCATCACGCTGGGGTAGTCACATTTTGCTACGCCAAAGGGGCAAAGCTACAGCCTTGAACTACGTATAGCGAGCACGGCAGTGCTCTGGGCACACTTTGTTACTCGCAACGAAGGGGTTAACCTCTGTTGGCCAAAATTAGTTCATTTCACACGATTACGACAGCAGGCGTGCCAGCGCTAAGTGCGTACTTTGACATGATCTGGGGCGCCGCAGCAAACGATATAAAACAGCGCGGCCGCTCCCACACTGTAGTCACACATGTGCAACGCTATCAGTGCTCCTAGACAGCGGTGCTAGTGAAAACCGCCAACCCAGGTGTTGAAGCCCAAAGCCGCTGCAATGCATTGGATATACTCAATGTTTCCAAACAGAGCGGTCACTCCGACGCAACGAGGGACGAAGCAACACAGTGAACTCCATCTTCCTAGGCGCGCTCTGTCACGCAAGTGTTTTACGCCAATCAAACCATAAAATGGACGGGGCCA